ACCCACTGAGCCCCTCTTCCCCACCCTAAGTCCGAGTCTCTGGCATAGGGTCTTGAGTCCAGGATGGGGTGGGTAGCTGGTGACCACACAGGCCCTGGAGAAGGTTATGTATTGAAGCCCTGCAATGTGTTAGGGCGCTGGCACATAACAGTAAATAAAACAGACGTGGAGCTTACCTTCTAGTTGGGACAGAGACAATAAACATGGGTAGAATATATGGAAATCCCAGCACTTCCACGCCTAAGTATGTGCCAAACAGAAATGCACGTGTGCACCAAAAGACACCTACTTATTTAGAGCAGCTCTATTTGTAATAGCCCCAAAGTGGGTTCAACTCGAATGTCCATCAACAGTTGAATGAGATAAACAAATTGTGGTATATTCACACAGTAGGATACTACACCACATTGAAAAAGAATGAACTGCTAAAACCAATAAGAAAGATTCTCACATAGTATTGAATGTGATGAGACAGATATAAAAGAGTTATCCTTCCATTTATGGTTATGGAAGTTATGATTCCATTTATATAAAGTATAAAAACAAGGAAAACGAATCTATAATGTTAGACTCAAGATAGTGGTTACCCTTGGGGGCATATTTACATGTTGAAAACTACAAAACATCTGAAAGAAATTAAAGAAGACCTAAATAAATGGAGAAGCATTCCATGTTCATGACTTGGAAGATTTAAATTGTTAAAATGGCAATACTTTCCAAATTATTTAAATTCAACATAATCCCTGTTATGCTTGCAACTGTATTTTTGCAGAAATTGACAAAGTGTTTCTAAAATTCCTATGAACATGTAAGGGATTCAGAATGGCAAACACAATCCTGAAAAAGCAGAATAAAGATGGAGGCTTCACACTATCTGATTTCAAAATTTACTGCAAGCCTATAGTAATCAAGATACTACAGCACTGACATTAGGATAGACATATACAGGGATAGACATACATAGATTAATGGAATTGAATTGAGAGTCTAGAAATCAACCCTCCTATTTATGACCAATTGGTATTTGACAAAGGTGCCACAATAATTCAGTGGGGGAAGAACAGTCTTTGTAGCAAATGATTATGGGTTATTTATGTGCAGAAGAATCAAGCTGGATCCCTATACCATATTATACACAAAAATAACTCAAAATAGATCATAGGTATAAATATAGGAATTAATGCTATAAAACCCTTAAAAGAATAAATCTTCATGTCTTGGGTTGAGAAGTAGTTTCTTAGATACACACCAAAAGTACAACAAAAGAAAAAATATATAAATTGGACTTGATCAAAATTAAAAACTTTTGAGCTTCAAAGAATACCATTCAGAAATTTAAAAGACAGTGCTCATAATGGGAGAAAATATATGTGTATCATATGCCTGAAAAAAGGCTTGTATTTAGAATATATATAGAATCTTACAATTTAATAATGAAAAGAAAGATGAAAAGGGCAAAGGACTGGCTAGACATTTCTCTGAAAAGATATTCAAATGGTCAATAAGCACACAAAATGATGTCCAACATCACTAGTCATCAAGGAAGTACAAATCAAAACCACAATGAGATATTATTTTACACCAGTAGGATGGCTGTAATAAGAAAGGCAAGACATATGGAATGGGAAAAAATATTTGCAAATGATGCTATTACAAGGGCTTAATCTCCAGAAAATACAAACAGCTCATACAACTTAATAACAAAAGAAGAAAACAAACAACCCAATCCTAAAATGGGCAAAAGATCTAAACATACAATTCTCTAAAGAAGACATACTAATGACCAATAAGTACATTAAAAAATGCTCAATATCACTAATTATCAGAGAAATGCAAATCAAAACTACAATGAGGTATCACCTCACACCAGGCAGAATGGCCATCATTTAAAAATCCATAAACGATTAATGTTGGAGAAGATGTGGAGGAAAGGGAACCCTCCTACACTGTTGCTGGGAATGTAGTTTGGTGCAGCCATTATGGAAAACAGTATGGAGATTCCTTAAAAAACTAAAAAGACAGTATGATCCAGCAATCCCACTCCTGGGCATATATCCAAAGGGAACACTAGTTCAAAAAGATACAAGCACTCCAATGATCATAGCAGCACTATTTACAATAGCCAAGACATCGAAACAACCTAAATGTTCATTGGCAGATGACTGGCTAAAGAAGTTGTTATCTATCTATCTATCTATCTATCTATCTATCTATACCACAATGGAATACTACTCAGCCATAAAAATAGCAAAATAATGCCATTTGCTGCAACATGGATGGACCTGGAAACCATCATTCTAAGTGAAATAAGCCAGAAAGAGAAAGAAAAGTACCATATATCACTTATCTGTGGAATTCTTAAAAAGGGCACAAATGAAGTTATTTATAAAACAAACAGACTCACAGACATAAAAAAAACAAACTTATGATTACCAAGGTGGGAAGGGGGTGGGAAGGGATAAACTGGGATTGAGATTTGAAGATACTAATAAATATAAAATAGATAAACAAGTTTATACTGTATAGCACAGGGAATTATATTCAATATCTTGTAGCAACCTATAACAGAAAAGAATATGAAAACAAATATATGTATATGTATGATGAAAATATTGTGCTGTACACCAGAAATTGATACAACATTGTATACTGACTATACTCCAATTTAAAAAAAAAGGCAAGATAATAGCAAGTGTGAGGATGTAGAGAAATTGTAAACCTCTTACATTGCTGGTGGTGAGGCCACTGTGAAAAACAGCTTGGCAGTTCCTCAAAATGTCAAATGTTAGAGTTTCCAAATGAGCCAGCAATTCTACTTGTAGTATACACCCAAGGGAAATGAAATATATTTACATTAAAAACTTGTAGCAGCATTATTCATAGTAGCCTAAAAGTAGAAACAACCCAAATACCTATCAACTGATAAAGGGATAAAAAGTGGTATATCCATACGATGGAACATTAGTCAACCGTAAGAAGTAAAAGGTTACTGATTTGTTCTACAGTAGAGATGAAACTTGAAAACTTTAAGTGATAGAAATCATTTCACAAAAGGTCATATATTATATAATTCCACTTTAATGGACTGTCCAGCATAGGCAAGTCTACAGATACACAATGTAGATTGGTGGTTGCCTAGAACTGGGATGTTGTGAGGGGAAGAGGAAGTGATGGCATTGAATATAGAGTTTCTTTTTAGGATGATAAAAAGGTTTAAAATTGATTGTGATTATGGTTGCACAACTCTGTATATAGTAAAAATCACTGAGTTGTACAACTTAAATTGGTGAATTGTATGATATGTGATTATATCTCAATAAAGCTGTGTATATGTACATATAATATATACCATATATATGGTATATCACATAGTGATTAGTACTGTGGAGAAATATAAAGTAGGGAGGGGAGATAAGAAGACTGGGGCTGAAGGCTGGAATTTTAAATGGACAGATCATTGGTAGGCTCACTGAGAAGGTAATGTGTGAACAAAGTAATTCTGAAAGGGGTAAGGGAGTCAGGTGGATATCTACGGGGAGAGATTTCCAGGGCTTGGATTTGGACCTGGGCTTTGTCACTGCCCAATATATATGACTTTGGACAAGTTACTTAATGACTCTATGCTTCAGTTTTTAAAATCTGGGAAAAAGTTATTCTAATTTTCTATAAAAATGACTAATAGTACCTATTTCAAAAGGTTATTGTGTAAATTGAATTAATAATAAAATAGGAAGTAAAGTTCTTAGAACAGAGCACTTCCACTAAGTATTTTCATTAGCTCCCATTGCAAGCACAAAAGCCCTTGCATTCTAACGTGGAACCATGCTCACAATGTTGGCGGAATCAAGGAGGCCAGGTGTAGCTGGTGTGAGAGGAATAGCTGGCAATAATGAGTAAGAGGGAAGATGGCAGGAAATGGGGAGGGCCCGTAACTTTTATCCTGTGAGATGTGAAATCATTGCCAGGTCTTGAATGAAGAAAAGGCAAGTATCTGATTCATGTTTTAACAACATCCCTCTGGTTCCTGTGTTGAAAATAGACTAAGATGGACGAGGATCCACTGAAGGAAACCAGTCTGAGTTGCTTAGTGGCGTAGGTGAGAGATGGTGGTGGTAGTGAGAAGTGGTCGGATTCTGGTTCTACTTTGAAGATAGAGGCAACTAGCTCAATAGAAACATTGGATATTGAGTATGAGAGAAAGAGACTTTGGTTTTGACTGGATCATTTGTCAGCATTCAGTTTACATTTATTGTGATGAGAATTTAAAAATTCATTTATTTATTCATTTAAGTTTAGCGGAGTAGGGAGTGGGAGGCGGGGAATCAATGTTTCAATTTTGGACATAATAAACTTGAAATGCCTATTACACATCTAAGCAGAGTGGCGTTCAGGGGACATGTTCGGACCGGAAAGAGAATAGATCATTCTTCCCTTCACAAATGATTGAAAACCTACGGTGTGCCAGGCTCTGGAGGTAATCGTGAGAATACTCACAAAGATTCTCACGACCTCACCTAACGGTGAGACAGGTTATAAACAAGTCGTCAATTAAGCGTAGTAAAATGTGTAAAGTCTTAAGCTCTTCAAATGGGACACAATGTTTAATTGCTATTGTTGTTTTTAACATTCAGAGTATTGTAAAAGCTAGAAGATGGGCCTTGGGATCTAGGAGCGCCTCCTCCTCCCCCACCCACGGTAGCCAGATATCCCCGCCCCAATGCGGGCCAGATTTCCAGCAGAGGAATGGCCGCATTGCGCAGGTGCGGCCTCAGTCCGGTGTCCTAGGAGACGGACTCCGAAAGTCTTTGCGCAGGCGTATTGCAAGAGGCCGTGACCGAGGCCACGGGACGGGGCGGGGCGAGTTCGGAGTGCGCCTGCGCACAGCGCGCTCTCGCCTGAGGAGCCGCAGTATCGGGAGCGCCAAGGCGGTGTTTCGGTAGTCTCTGACCCGCCTCTCCCGCGAACCCGGCGTCGTTGGACCGCACCGCGGACGGGGACGTCCGCCGGTCACGGAGGTCGTCACAATGCCGGTAAGGAGAATTGCTCAACCTCTGGGGTTCTTCCTCGTGTCAGCGGCCTGGCCCGGTGGCGCGGCCGTTGCCATGGAGGCGCGGAGCGGGCGGGCTACCGGGGTGGGGCGGGGCGGGGCAGGGCTGGGCCGGGATGGCCGGAGCAGTTGGGGAGCCTCGCGGGTGGACCTGGGCCCGTGGTGGGGTCTAGCCTACCCTGGGAAGGACCTGGGGCAGGCGTTGCCGCCTTTGTCGCTGCTGCATCCCGCAAGGCCTGTGCTCCTTGACATAAAGGCTCTGTGCCAGAGGATGCGCTCTTTCTCCCAGCCCTGCCCGCTGGGTAGGGTGTTTAGGAGCTGTCGCGGAGGGTCGGCTTTGGATGCCTCGCACCTTGTGGGGGGTCTCTGCGCCGCGGAGCCAAGCTCCAGAATGCAGCTCCGCTTGGGCTGTCTGCCCCTACTCCAGCCTCCTGAGTCGAGTTGTCTGTCTTTCCTCTCGTGGCGCTCTAGCTTACAGTGCCGAATGCAACCCCGTAGGTGTCTTTGTGTGAGGGGAATGAGTGGTGGGTGTATTTGTCTTGTAGGATTTCACAGATTGTTATCGTGCAGTTAATAAGGGGGCGTCGTAAGTCCAGAATTCAGTCATGGAGAACATGAGCTGTGTCCGGTTATTACTGGTTGCGAGGCCTTGGACAATTATTTAATCTTTCTGGGTCCTTCGTTCCTACATAATTAAACTTTCCCACATGGGGCTGTTATCCGCATGAAACAAGATGGTGTACAGGAGGCATGAAGGACAGTGCTTGACGTTTGACATTAAATGCTTAATATTTGTTTCTTGTCTGTTGCTTTTGAGTTATTTATCAGATTACACAGCATATATTGGGCACCAACCACATGCGAGGCACTGGAGATACAATATTGAGCAAAACCATCCAGGTTCTTGAATTTGGGAAGAGAGAAAGTTGCCTCACAGAGCAGAGGTGAAAACCATACATAATTACAGAGATAAGACACTTAACGTTAATGAATGAAGTGAGGGGGTGGCATGCAATAGATAGAAGTAGATTCTAGTGAAGTGTGAAGTGTTGCCATGTAGGAATGCTGGCCTACAGATGTCAGATCATTTATTTTTTAAAGAGAATCTAGAAATTGTTATGTTTGTGAAATTTCTCAGTTTTTAAATTTTAGCATCCAGTCAAAAGATTTTTAAATACTGTGAGCTGAACAAAAGACATTTGTGGCCTGAATTCAGCCCCTTGACTACCTGTATGGAACCTCTGGTTTAGATAGAAAGATGTTAATCAAATAAGGAGCGGAAAAAAAAAAGAATTGTAACTGGATGCAGAAGAAGAAGAAAGAAGGATGCTCTAGGGGCCTATACAAGGATTTGACCTTGTCAGGGAAGTCTTCCCAGTTGAATGGGCTGTTGAACTGAGCTCTGCAGGGTAAGTGACGAGGCGGGTGAGGAATGTTCTAGGCAGAAGAAACAGCACCTTGATAGGCCTGGGATGAAAAGGAGCGTGGTAACAAGAAAAGGCCTAAAAGAAAGCGAATGTGGCTGTGGGTAAGAATGCTGAGCAGGATAACTTGTGAAATAAGACTGGAGAAGTAGCCTTGGGCCAGAGCCAGATCTTACAGAATACCTTAAGGATTTCGATTTTTTTCCTAAGGTCTGTGGGAAACCGCTGAAGAGTTTTAAATAGGGGAGTGACATAATTAGATTTGTGTTGCAGCTGACTGCAGTGTAGAGAATAGAGTGTAGGGGAACGTAATTAGATATAGGAGTAGTTATAGGCATCTCATAATGTGGGTTGAGATAATGATGACCTAGACTAAGACAATTGATATAACCTGTTCCTCCTCAATGTCAGTGGCTCATGTTTCTTTAATGCTTTGAAGAGTTTCTTTAATGCTTTGAAACAGTAGGAATTTAGTATCTGTTCAACTAAACTGTTGAACTTCTTCACTTTAATAATAGGATTGTATTTTAATATAGATTTTTAATCATAAAATTTCAAAAATTGAAACTTTTCATATACAGATGTTCATAAGGTTAGAGTCAAGCCAAAACATTTTTCTCTGAGATTGGGTTTTCTTTTCTGTCTTTCACTTGTCTTTTATAGAGAAGGTAAACTATATACGGATATGTTACTGGGAAAAGGAAAATAAGAATTACCTCGGTTCTTAGTCACTCCCCCAAAAAAGAATTTTTGACGAGAGACAGAAAGCGTGATATAAACAAGATTTTTATTAGTGAAGTAAAAACAATAGTAAAAGATAGTACACTCCCAAAAATTGGGAGTGGGCCAATCCAAGAGAGGAAAAATGGTGCTGTTCCTTTGTTTTTCCTGTTTTTATAACCTGGTTTCGTGATTGATTGATTGACAACTAAGGTTCCCTGCGCTCTGGCACGCCTATCCCCTTTTGGGCAGGTTCATTGGGTCAAGTTATACCAGGTCCCTCTCCTATGCGCAGCTGCAGCTCTTTGATTTTAACTGGCTTCTTTTACTGGCCCTTATTTAGAGAAAGTAAAAATTTCTGGAGTCCCTTTTACTGAATGCAGACACGCTTGCCATTTTCTGGGTTATTCCTTTCACCTTCCTCTCCGCCTGCCCAGTGCTCATTTCTGTCTAAACTGCCTAACAGATATATAATTTGATTTAAAAATTTACTAATGCATTATAGAAAATAAAACTAAAAGTCTCAGGAGCAGAGGACTTACTACTATATTCTTATTAAGGTTATTAACCATGTTCATGTGTGTTTTCCTAGCGGCAGGAAACTCAGAAGTCAGGGACTTTTATTCAAAAAGACCGGTCTCTAATATACTCTCTCATTTTCTGCCTAAGTAGCATTAACTATAAATGTGAATTAAAGTTCCTCTTTCCTCATTTGTATTGTGAAAGAAACTATTTTCATTTTTATATCTTTTAATAAGCTTTTTCTATCTGTAAGATCTTTAATTGCATTTAACAAATATTCATGGAGTGCTTAATATGTGCAAGGCACTGAGATGACAAAGTAGCCTTTTTCAGATTTTAAATTTAATCTGTTGAATGTAAAAGTAAATGCTCTCTTCATTATTTGTAAATATTTTCTCCACCAGATCAATAAATCAGAGAAGCCGGAAAGCTGTGATAATGTGAAGGTGGTTGTTAGATGCCGGCCCCTTAATGAGAGAGAGAAATCAATGTGCTACAAACAGGCTGTCAGTGTGGATGAGATGAGGGGAACTATCACTGTGCATAAGACTGATTCTTCCAACGAACCTCCAAAGACATTTACGTTTGATACTGTTTTTGGACCTGAGAGTAAACAGCTGGATGTTTATAACTTAACTGCCCGACCTATTATTGATTCTGTTCTTGAAGGCTACAATGGTGAGTACTTTATATACTTGACTTTTAAACAACTTTGTTGAGCAGTTAATAATATCCAATTAATTTACCCATTGTAATTACAATCAAATTGTACAGTTTGATGAATTGTAGTAAATGCATACAGTTGTGAAACCATCACCACAATCCAATTTAATCACCTCCAAAAGTTCTTTTATATCCATGTGAAGCCCCACCCCCAGGCAACCACTGACCTGCTTTCTGTCTATAGTTTTGCCTTTCCTCAAAGTTTCACATAAATCAAATCGTACACTATCGCATCTTTCTTATCTATTTTCTTTCACTTAGTGTTATATTTTTGAGAGTCATCTATGTTGTTGCATGTATCAGTAGTTTGTTCCTTTTTATTGTTGAGTTGTATTCTGTTGTATGAATATACTACCTTTTATGTTTTTTCATAAGAATCTGGATTATTCTCATTTTTTTGCTATTAAAAGTAATGTTGCTTGGAATATTCTTTTAAAAATCTTTGTGCAGATAAGTTTCAGAGTTTCTCTTGGGTAGACACCTGGGAGTGGAATTGCTGGGTCACGTGGTTAATACATGTTTATCTTTTGAAGAAACTGGGAAACTGTTTTCCCAAGTGGTGACTATACTACTGTTGTTTCCCAGCAGCATGGTATGAGAGTTCCAGTTTCTTCACATTCTCACCAGCATTTAGACTATCAGTCTTTAAATCATAGCTATTCTAGAGGACCTGTAGTGATATCTCACTGTTTTAATTTGTATTTCCCTAAGGATTAACCATGTTGAACACCTCCTCATGTGCTTATTGTACATTTGTGTATCTTCTTGGTAAAACATCTCTCAAAATATTTATCTATTTTAAAATTTGTTTGCCTTTGTTCTTATTATTGAGTCATGTTCTGTATATATTTTGAATTCAAATCTATGATCAGATATGTGATTTGAAATTTTTTTCTACCAGTCTGTGGCTTGTCTTTTCATTTTCTTTTTTTTTTTTTTGATTTAATGTTATTATTATTTTTAATGGCGGTACTGGGGATTGAACCCAGGACCTGATGCATGCTAAGCATGCACTGTACACTGAGCTATCCCACCCCTGCACCCCCCCACCCCGCTCCCGTCTTTTCCTTTTATTAATGGTGTTTTTTGAAGAGAAATGTTTTGTATTTTGATTAAGTCTAGCTATCAATTTTTTCACATGCTTTTGGTGACACAGTTAAGAAATTTTTGACACACCCAAGACCATAAAGATTTTCTCTTACAGTTTTAGCTAGAAGTTGTAAACATTGTAGGTCTTAAATTAAAGTCTGTGATCCATTTTGAGTTAATTTTTGTATATGGTATGAGGTGAGTTAGTTTCTTTCTCTTTTTTTCCCCCTTCTTGCCTTATGGATATCCAGACATTCCAGCACCATTTGTTGAGAATGTTCTTTCCCTTTTGAATTGTCTTTTGTCAAGAATTAGCTGACTGCAGATATGTGGGCTTATTTCTGATTTGTCTATTCCATTCCATGTCTATCCTGTGTAAGTTACTATAGCTTTATAAAATGTTTTGAAATTAGGTAGTATACATTTTCTGATTTTGTTATTCTTTTTCAAAGTTGTTTTGGCTTTTCTAAGTCCTTTACATTTTTGGAATACCTTGTCAATTTCCACGAAAAAAACTACTAGGATTTAGATAGGGATTATATTGAATTGTTATTCTGGCAATATTGAGTCTTCTAATCCATGAACATATATATCATAGACATATTTATTATATCTTATTTATGTCTTGGTTAACATTTCTCTCATCAGTATTTTGTAGTTTTTAATTCACAGATCTTGTACTACTTTTGCTAACATTATTCATAAGTTTTTTTTGATGCTATTGTGAATAGAATTGTTTTCATAATTTCCTTTTTGGAATTGTGCATTATTAAGATACAGAAAAGCAATTGATTATTTTAGTAGATTTTTAAATTGAGAAATAATTTAAATAACATGAAATTTGTGACTTTTGCCATTTTACAGTGTACAAATCAGGGGGGGTTAGTACATTCATAGTGCTGTGCAGACATCACCATTATCTGTTTTCAGGATGTTTCTATGATCTCAAAAAGAAACTCTGTACCCATTAGCAGTTACTCCCAATTCATTCCTTCCTACCCTGGCAACCACTTACTTTCTTTGTGTATGAGTTTGCCTATTCTGGGTATTTTATATACATAGAATTATATAGTGTGCAGTCTTGTTTCTGGCTTTTTTTATTTAATTGAAGTGTAATATTTACAGTGTTATGGCGTCTGGGTTCTTTTACTTAGCATAATGTTTTTAATGTTCATCTATGTTGTAGCATGTATCAGTACTTCATTCTTTTTTATGGCCAAATAATATTTCATTGTATGGATACGTTATATTTTGTTTATCTATTCGTCAGTTAATAAAACGTTTGGGTTGTTTCTGTTTCTTGGCTATTATGAATGATGTTGCTGTGAACGTTCTTGTACAAGTTTTTGTGTGAACATGTATTTTTGATTTACTTAAGTATCTAGGAGAATAATTGCTGGGTCAGAAGGTTGACTGCTAGAGTGTTTTCCACAGTGGCTGCACCATTTTTACATTCCCACCAATAATGTATGGGATTTCCAATTTCCCCACGTCTTTGCCAAACTTATTATTATTTGTGTTTTTAATTATAGATGTCCTAGTAGATGTGGAGTGATATCTCATTGTGTTTTGCAGTTAATTTTTGTATATTGACCTTGTATCCGACACCCTTGCTACACTTGATTATTATTTTTATTATTAGTAGTAGGCTTTGGGGGTAAATTCCCTAGAATTTTCTACATACAAGAAAGAACGTGTCTGAAAATAAAGATAGGACAACTTCTTTCTTTCCAGTCTTTTTGTTACCTCAATTGCACTGGCTGGAATAGAACCTCCAGTACAATGTTGAATAGAGATGATGAGAATGGACATTTTTATATTGTTTCTAATCTTAAGGAGAAAGCGTTACCTGTGGTGTGATATTACCTGTAGATTTTTCATAGATACCCTTTATTAGAAGGGAGAAGTTCCCCTCTGTTCTTAGTTTGCTGAGAGTTTTTTTTCCTTAGGAAGAGGAATTATGTTGAATTTCTCCAAATGCAGTATTTCTTGGAATTAGTGAAATTAACATGTTTGTTAATATCATCAGTTACAGTGATTTATTTTTAAATGTCAAACCAGTCATGCCACTTAGTCATGGTGTATTATCCTTTTGTATATTTGTGGATTTGATTTGCTAAAATTTCCTTTAAATTTTTTGCATCTGTGTTCATGAGGGATATAAATATGTAGTTTTCTTGTAATGTCTTTATCTGATTTTGGTATTAGAATAATGCTAGTTTCATAGAATGTGTTGGAAAATATTCCTTCCTTTTTAATTAATTGGAAAAATTTGCCTAGAATTAGTATTACATCTTTTCTAAATGTTTGGTAGACTTCACCAGTGAAGCCAACTGGGCCTGAAGGTATTTTGGGGGGAAGGTTTTTAATGACAGATTCAGTTTCTTTAATAGATTTAGGAATATTCAGGCTATCTATTTCTTTCACTAGTGGGCTTTGGCAGTTTGTCTTTTATAGAATTTGTCTATTTCATTTAAGTTCTTGAATTTATTGGCAGAAAGTTGTATATCTCAATCCTCTATTCTTATGTTTGAATGTAGTGACGTAACCTTTCTCATTCCTAATGTTGGTAACATGTCTTCTCCTTTTCTCTTGATTAGTTTGGCCAGAGGTTTATCAATTTTACTGGTCTTCTCAAAGAATTGACTTTTGGTTTTATTAATTTTTCTTTATATTTTCTGTTTCATTGATTTCTGCTTCGATCTTTATTGTTTCTTTTCTCCTACTTACTTCAGTCTTTTTTTCCCCCTACTTTCTTAAGGTGAAAGCTGAGGTCATTGTTTTGAGACCTTTCTTCTATTCTAATACAGAGGTTTATATATTACCCTCCTAAGTACTGCTGTAGTGGCATCCTACAGATTTCGACATAACTGTGTTTTCATTTATATGCAATGCAGAATACTTTCTACTTTCCCTCTTGATTTCTTCTTTGGTTCCCAGCTTGTTTAGAAATGTCTTAGTTTCCAAATGTTTTTTACATTTTTCCAAAGATCTTTCTGTTACTGATTTGTAATGTAATTCCATTTTAGTCAGAGAACATACTTAATAAAATGTGGATCTTTTGTTTTATGGCCCAGAAGGTGGTTTATTATTATTAAATGTTTTATTTATACCTGAAAAGGACGTGTATTCTGCTATTGTTGAACGGAGTGTTCTGTAAATGTCCATTAGGTCAATTTGTTTGATAATAGTCAAATTTTCTGTGTACTTAATTATTTTCTGTTTGGTCTATTACTGAGACAGGATATCAAATTCTCTGACTATAATTTGGTATTTGGCTATTCCTTTCAATTCCATCAGTTATTGCTTCATGTATTTTGAAGCCCTGTGAGTAGGTGCATAAATGCCTAGGAGTTTTGTGTCCTTTTGATGAACCTATTTTCATTATGAAATTACTCTCTTTATCCCTGGTAGTAGTCTTTACTCTGAAACCTACTTTGTCTGATTGTTATAAACATTCTAGCTTTCTTTTGATTAGTGTTTACATGGTATGTTTTTTTCCTATCCTTTTTGCTTTTTCTTTTCCTTTTTTTAAATTTTTACGTTTTTTTATTGAGTAGTTATCATTTTACAATGTGTCAAATTCTAGTGTAGAGCACAATTTTTCACTTATACATGAGCATATATATATTCATAGTCATATTTTTTTCTCTGTGAGCTACCATAAGATCTTGTATGTATTTCCCTGTGCTATACAGTATAATCTTGTTTATCTATTCTGCATTTTAAAATCCCAGTCTGTCCCTTCCCACCCCCCCACCCCCTTGGCAACCACAAGTTTGTATTCTATGTCTAGGAGTCTGTTTCTGTTTTGTATTTATGTTTTGTTTTGTTTTGTTTTGTTTTTTAGATTCCTCATATGAGTGATCTCATATGGTATTTTTCTTTCTCTTTCTGGCTTACTTCACTTAGAATGACATTCTCCAGGATCATCCATGTTGCTGCAAATGGCATTATGTTGTCAGTTTTTGTGGCTGAATAGTATTCCATCATATAAATATACCACAGCTTCTTTATTCAGTCATCTCTTGATGGTCATTTAGGCTGTTTCCATGTCGTGGCTATTGTAAATAGTGCTGCTATGAACATTGAGGTGCAGGTGTCATTTTGAAGTAGGGTTCATTCTGGATATACGCCCAGGAGTGGGATTCCTGGGTCATATAGTAAGTTTATTCCTAGTCTTTTGAGGAAT